TGTCCAACTCTTCGTGACCCCATGGACCAGAGCACACCAGGCCCTCCCATCTTCCACTGCCTCCCAGAGTTGGGTCAAATTCATGTTGGTCGCTTCGATGACCCTGCCCAACCATCTCATCTTCCGTCGTTCCCTTCTCCTCTTGCCTTCACACTTTCCCAACATCAGGGTCTTTTCCAGGGAGTCTTTTCTTCTCATGAGAGGGCCAAAGTATTGGAGCCTCAGCTTCAGGATCTGTCCTTCCAGTGAGCACTCAGGGTTGATTTCCTTTAGAATGGATCGGTTTGTTCCAAGTACAAAAGGCTTTTAAAAAAGCCACATCGAAACCATAGCAGCAGTTTAACCAGACCATAGAAAGGCAGGAGTTATCATTTAAAAACCCCCATTACGCCCTTTATATAGCACTGCTCTGGGGGAGATGTGACATGTACGGTGTTGCCTCCAGCCAGTGTCATTAAGGACGCCTGCGTCTGTGCACCCACTGATGTAGGAAGGCATCCCTCAACAGACACCAAAGGAAGGCTGGGCCAATCAGAAGAGTCTCCTGAATCGACCCTGAGTTGAGTTATTACGGTTTCCCTACAAGGAACTGTAGAAATGACATTTATCAAACGAGCAGGTCCTTGAAGTCGGGCTCACAAGGTGGTAGACTGCACTTTGCAAATGTGGTGAATAATCTTTTGGTTCTCCCTTTATTTTATTTTTTAAATAGAATTAGTTGAACAGTCTGTGTGTTTGTATTCTGTATAGTAACAGCAGTCACTGATTTTGGAGCAAGAATTGGATTTTAGCAATTTGAATTGCTAGATACTGAGAGACAGCTCAGGTGTGTCTTCTCCACTGACCTTTTCTAGATCTACATCTAGACAGCTACTCTTAAGCTCATTTGCTTCTTCTTTCTCTGCAATCTCTCTGCTTTCTCCTCCTAAACAGACTCACATAGTTTCTCCACAATCATATGCATACACAGAAGTCAGCTTTAGACATGTCTGTAACTGAATTTAGGGCTTATTCCTTCTGCACTATTCCCTAATGAATATATTGAAGTGATAAACATTTGCTATTTTTCCCACTGTTTAACCTTAATTGAGAGTTTCTGAAGAAGTTACTTCTGTTCAATGGCTGCAAGATCAGGCTTGGCCTACCGCACTTTGGTAGCACAAATTAGAAATATTCTCATATTCCCAAGAAATAGGAGAATTTTTTTTTACAGTACACCTTCTTATCTGTGGGATCAGTATCCACTGATTCACTTGTCCACAGTCTGAAAATATTAAAAATACTGTATTAAAAGAAAAATCCTAGAAGTACATATTTCTAAAGATGAAGTTAAAAGAACTGGCCACTGGAGAGAGCCAGAACCCTTGTTATGTATAGTGTTTGCTATAGAAATATACAGCAGATAATAGCAAACAATATATACACAGTGGTGCTTCACTAGATGATATTAATGCGTTCCGTGAAAATTGCTGTCTTGCGAAAACATCATTTTGCGAAATGCGGTTCCCCATTGGAATGCATTGAAATCTATTTAATGCATTCCAATGGGAAAATTGTCATCTAGCGAAAATCATCCATAGGAAACATCGTTTTGCAAAACGCGGTCCCCCCATTGGAATGCACTGAAATCTATTTATGAAACGCGGTTCCCTCTTGGAATGCATTGAAATCTATTTAATGCGTTCCAATGGGGAAAAATTGTCGTCTAGCGAAAATCATCCATAGGAAACCATTGTCTTGCAAAGCGCAACAGTGATTGCAAAAACTAATTGTCTAGCGGATTAATCATCCCGCAAGGCAATCGTCTAGCGAGGGACCACTGGTATATCTAGCATGGTAAAAGGAAAAAAAACTGATTTTCCCCATATGCATTATAAGAAGTAGCCATATCTAGCATGGTAAAAGGAAAAAAACTGATTTTTCCCCATATGCATTATAAGAAGTAGCCACTAGAGGGCGCCAGAGGCCATGCTATATATTCTTCACTAAGAAGTATTCATAGCACTGTCTCTGGTTCCATCTCGTGGCCAGTCCTGGTAATACATGTGTAAATAGTTTTTTTCACCCTGGATTTTTCTCCTTCTAATATTCAGATTGTGGATAAGTGAAACTGAGGATACTGATTCAATGGATATGGAGCCGTACTGTATTTCCATGATGTCAGTACCTGAACTGGTCACGAGAGGGAGCCAAATACTATGCTATGTACAGCGTTCACTATTAAAATGGCATCCACTATAACACATGTTTTTCAACATCTGCGGAGGGAGGAAGGCTTGGTGGGATCCTAGTGGGTATAAGGTGCTCCTGTTTGTGAGAATGGCTTTCTCATTCAGGGAGGGGAGGTAAATAGTCACCAGCAGCCAAAAGAAGAAGGAGAAGGGCCAGAAGGGGGAATGCCAGCTCCTCTGAGGGGCTCCCAAAGATGGCCAGCAATGCAAACCTCAGGGTCTGTGCAAAATCTTTGAACGAAAGTCTGTTGAAACGGGAAAGCGTCTCTGGATGCCTCTTATGTCACATGAGGTTCTTCTACCAGGTGGGAAACAGCACCCTGGAGATCGGAGGGGGACCTCCTCCCGGAAGCACAGAGCTGTGGATGTGAGAAGCCACTGCCTCCAGCAGAAAATACAGGTCACTTCCATTGATTCAAAGACCGGAGGCGGATCTCCTGTAGCCCTTCTCAGCATCTTCCCGTCCCTGGCTTGTTTCTCAGGACAGCAACTTGTCCATCATGGGGTTGGTAAAGGAAAAGTTGCTGAACATGTTTTGGTCCATGCTGTTGATGAGAGTTCTGTCTCCCAACGAGAGCCACGGCTTCTCTTTCAGAAATTCCTTGTCAAAATTGCTGCAGTCACCTGGGGATTTCTTTGAGAGGAACAGAGGAATCAGAGTTAGGACACAGCAGCCTGAAAACAGGACAGCCGCTGAGAAAGACAGTCACAGGAAGACACACTAGAGCCTTGAAAAATATCACCTGACTAGGGGTGGAACTACCTGTTATAGATAACCCATCATTAGAAAAGAAAACCCCTTAAGTGCTGATTATGGGTGATTGTCACAAAATGAACTTTTTTCAGCAGTCTTAATGTGCAAATTATCTTGCCTTGCTTTGCTTTATGATTATTCCTAAGGATACAGCAAATTCTTCCCTTGGAATATACTTTATCTGTAAAGTATATTTTTGCCCCACGAGAAATGGGATACAGGTTTTCCTACTTCTCCTCTACATCTTTGCAGATAATTGAGATAAGTTCACTCACGTCCTGGCATAACTATACCTGTTTTAGTTATTTTATAGTTACAGGTGGTATAACTACCTGTGGTTTCTAGCATTCATTTTTTTAAAGGTAACTAAGAAGTTATAATTTTTGTTACTTGCAAGTGAAAAAGTAAAGAACAAGGTACTTTAAAAATTTTTGTTTCTATTTGTTTCTACGATGGTAACTAATTCCTTGTTTAGGCTTTCTACAATGGTAACTAATTACTTTTTTTAAAAAGTAACTCCCAAAGCTTTGCTTCCTACCATCAACTATGCAAAGAAGCAAAGAGGACTTGGAGTGTAATTCGAATCAGTTCTCACCACTTTCGGCTTGAAAGGAGGTTCGACGGCTCGCTCTTCCAGTGCCTCCCACTGGATTTCTTGGAAAAAGGCATGTTGACGGATATTCCCTTTGACTCCCAGCCTCCTCTCGGGTTCCCTCACAAAAAGCTGGAAATCAATGGAAGAGGAAATGAAAAGGAAATATTTGCCAGTAAAGAGCCAGTGGTTCAAGTGGAGAAGTTAAGTGGCTTTTCTAGAGCTTTCAAGCCACATACTGTATAATGCAGCAACCTTGTAGAAGAGAGACCTGTAGAAGACAGTTGTAGCAGCAGCAGCAATGATGATGATGATGATGATGATGATGTACTGCGGGATTTCTGAATCCAAACAGATAGACACTTTGAACATTACACACCAGATATAGTAATAATAGAATAAACTTTGAACCTAACACACCAGATATAGTAATAATAGAATAAAGAAAGGTCCGGATCATTGACATTGCAATTCTAGGGGATGCCAGAGCTGAAAATAAAGAATTGGAAAAACTTTACAAAGTACGGAGACCTGGCCATTGAAATATCTCGCCTCTGGAGACCTGGCCATTGAAACATCACGCCTCTGGAAGAAACACACTTCTGTGGTACCCGTAGTCATTGGGGCTTTGGGAGCTTCCGTGGTCCCCGTAAGTCATTGGGGCTTTGGGAACAAGATCAAGACGTTTCACACAGTACGATAAGCAGTCTCAGAAATCACACCATCAGAGTCCCCAAAACCGGCAATATTAGGAACAGCACACATTCTGCATCGATACTGAACAGATACCGTGTTTCCCTGAAAATAAGACAGGGTCTTATATTAATTTTTTGCTCCAAAAAACACACGAGAGCTTATTTTCACGGGGTGTTTTATTTTTTTCCATGTACAGCCAGCTACATTTATTCAAATACAGTCATGTTGCTGCACAAGGGTGGAGGGCGGGGTTTCACTTCACCGGGGGTTATTTTTGGGGATAGGGCTCATATGACAAGCATCCTGAAAAAAAATCCTACAAGGGCTTATTTTCAGGTTAGGTCTTAATTTTCGGGAAAACAGGGTATTTTGGTTTTTGGTTACAACTTGTCTCAGTTACAGAATACCAGTCCCTGTCTTGATCATCTTGATGGGCTGCGCCTGGTGTAGTTGGAATGAAAATAGTACAGTGGTGCCTCACAAGACAAATGCCTCGCAGGACAAAAAAACTCGCAAGACAAATGGTTTTCCAATGGAGTTGACGACTTGCAAGACAAATGTTCCTGCGGCCGTGTTTCGCAAGAAGAATGTTTTCTGTTTTTTATTTCTGCCTTATGTTTGATGGCTTTTAAATGTTTTTCTATGATGTTTAAAAAGTTTTTTTGATTGAAATTTTTGAAATCATCTGCACAATATGCATGGCTTTAAAGAGCACTTAATAAACCCTTTGTAAACCAAATTTGACTTTGTTCTGACTTTTTTTTTTGCCCATAGGAACGCATTAATTAGATCTCAATGCATTCCTATGGGAAAACATTTCGCAAGACGAATTTTTCACAAGACAACATTAACCGCGGAACGAATTAAATTCATCTTGTGAGGCACCACTGTAATCATGTTTTCAAGGTTTGGAAGGAATGCTCCCAAAGAAGAGAAGATGAAGAGACAGGGGCGGGCAAAACTCTCTTCCCTAACCCCCCCTCACCTTCACCAGAAGGTCTCTTGCATCTCTGTCTAACCAGCGGGGGTAGAATGGGCTGTCCATGCGGATGGACTGGAAGAGCTCCTCTTCATCCTGACCGTGGAATGGAGACTGGCCAATCAACATCTCGTACAGAAGGACGCCGAAGGACCACCAGTCGACCGACATGCTGTATTTTTGTCCCAGCAGAATCTGTGGTGGAAAGAGAAACAAGCAATGAAGAGAGCGTCAAAGCTCAGCCACGAGAATGCCCGCCTTATCAATTAAATGGGCTAGGAACGGCTGCTATAGCCCATTATTATCTGTTCTCATTGACAGCAGCTTAACAGGTGGCTGAGATGCATTCTCCTGGGCTTTCTGCACCTCAGTGGATACCATCACAACATATGAAGAAGTTATTTTATTAAAAGAGTATTATTTACAAAACCCTGATGGCAGCATGTGCACAATTCCCCCCAGTATTCTTTGGGTGGAAAGGATTCTATTTCAATTTGGCTTCATCAGAGTCAATCCAGGTCATGCGCTTAGCATGTATTTAGAAGGGGTGCTCTCCAAAATGGTGAAAGGGATCTGTTTGTCACAGCACATACTTTTCCTCAACCACATACAGTACCTTGCATTTAGTGTGCTTTGGTATGTGATTGGTCCTTAGAAAGTAAATACAGACTGTACTTGCAAGTATGATTGCTGAAGCACATGATCTTTGAGGCAACTGGTTATGAATTAATCAGAAAAAATCAGGATTCCCCTTACTATCTAGTTTTAGTCTTAAAGGGAGAGCTGACTTTCAAAAACACTGCAGCTGGCCTTCAGCAGACCAAATGTTATCCCACACATAAGAACTTAAGATGAGCCCTGCTGGATCAGGCCAAGGGCCCATCTAGTCCAACTTCTGTCTCTTACCCTGGTCCCACAAGATGCCTCTGGGAACACATGAGATAACTAGATCCCTGTCTCCTGATCCCCCTCCCCTGCATCTGGCATTTTGGAGGTCCCTTCCTTCGAAGCCTGGAGATTCTGCATCCCCATCATGACTTGCCACCTGTGATGAACTTTTCCTCCAGAAATCTGTCCAATCCCCTTTTTAAAAGGCATCTAAGCCAGATGCCATCACCACGTCCTGTGGCAAGGGGTTCCACAGACTAACCACACGCTGGGTCAAGAAAGATTTTCGTTGGTCTGTCCTCCCTCTCCCAACGCTCCATCGGAGTGGAGGTCCCCTGGTTCTGGGATTGCGTGAGAGGGAAAAGAGCTTCCTTCTCTCTCTCCACTTTTATCCACCGCTTGCACTCCTCTCTCAAACCTTACCTCTTGGGTGCCTCGGAGGGAAAAATGAGACCGCAAGCCATTCTCCCTCTCTCTCCCGGCCTATTTGTGAGAGGCCAAATGCCAGTTTGGTTACACCCCTTCCAGAACGACCTCTATCTATTACTCTGACTGGAACCAAACTGACACAGCCAGCTCTACGCTCTGACAGGAGAAGTTTTGCCTCAGAGAGTTCTGTCTCATGTGCCCAAATGATTTGGCGAGCAGCGGATCAAGTGTCATATGCTGTTCCACTTCGGGCAGCAAAAAAGGTGTACTGCTCCTAGATCTGGAGGTTCCACTAGCTTTCACAGCTAACACCCAGCAAACATTCCAACAAAGCAACGAAGCCACCCCCTCCTACCTCCGGTGCAATATAATCAGGGGTCCCACAGAACGTGCTCGTCTTGGCGTCCCCGAACATGGCCTCCTTGCACATGCCAAAATCTGCAATCTTGATGTGTCCTTCCTTGTCAAGAAGAACGTTGTCAAGCTTGAGGTCTCTGCAAGACAAGGACGGGTGGGGTTTGTCTCTTTCTGGAGAAGCCACATTGCCACGTGCTTTAAGTTCAAACAGTTCTTATGCAATATTTTGTGTAAATAACATTGTCCTTCATTCCTTTGTTGTTCATATGTATTAACCAACTCTTACCTGTAGATGATTCCTTTCGAATGAAGGAACTGCAAGCCACAAATAATTTCAGCAGCATAGAACCTGGGGGGGAAAAATTGCACAGATACTTATTTGCTGCTTGACGACCACAGAGAGTCTCCGACTGGATCAAGTCCCGTGGTGCTACCGAACCCAGTTTCTGACAGCGGCTGACTAGATGCCCCAAGGGAGCCCACAAAGGGGGGGTTCATAGCTTTCCGGGGTTGTTTCCCTAACTCAGCACATGAAATTTAGAATTGCACTGCAGCTGGAGAGGGAGGTTCCATATACGTAGCCCTTAATTAGAACGGGGGATCTGACATGAGTGTTTCATTTTAGACATCCCTAGGATTTGCCCACTATGTGACGAGACGGTTTGTTAATGCTATGCAGTCATGTTTGGGTGTTGCCCTCCTCACCAAAAAGAAGAAAAGGAAAAAAGAAAAGAAAAAATAGATTTTTATTAGGCATCCTTCAGTCTCGAGAGACTATGGTTAACATGCTCTGTATGGAGGACTTGGAACAGCGTCTAGTGTGGCT